AAACCAAAGTTGGCTCTTTGAAAAGATTAATTAAATTGAAAAATCTTTAGCTAGATAATCAAAAAAAAAAATTGAGAGAAGCCTTAAATTACTAAATTCAGAACTGAAAGAAGGGACATCATCACTACCAGCCTTTCAAAAATACAAAGGATTATAAGGGAGTACTATGAACAATTGAGTATCAAAAAATTAGATTATCAAATGAAATTGACAAATTCCTAGAAACACACAAATTACCAAAACTGATTCAAGAACTTTTCACAAAGAAAAGCCCAGTCCCAGATGGCTTCATGGTTAAATTCTACCAAATATTTAAAGAAAAATTAATACCAATCCTTCACAAATTCTTCTAAGGCTAGAAGAAAAGACTTCCCAAATTATTCTGAGGCCAGCATGACCCGTAATACCAAAACCAGGCAAAGACAGGAAAACTATAGACCAACATCCTTTACCCCATAATGAATATAGATCTAGAAATAACAAACAAAATACTAATGAATGAAATCCAAACACACAAAAAAGATTTACACATGACCAACTTGAATTTTACTAAGAATGTAAGGTTGCTTTAACATGCACAAATCCATTAATTTATATACCATATTAATAGAATAAAGGACAGAAACCATATGATTATCTCAGTAGATGCAGAAAAAGTATCTGACAAAATCTAACATCCTTTCGTGATAAAAATGTTCAAAAAACTAAGACTGTAAGAAAACTTCCACAACCTAGTAAAGAAAGCTGCCAGCAGCTAACAAACGTACTTAATGGTGAAAGACCAAAAGCTTTCCCGAACACTTTAAGATCGGTAACGAGACAGGGATATCTGATCTCTCCTCTTCTATTCAACGTTGTACTGGAAGTTCTACCCAGGGCAATTTGGCAAGAAAAAGAAACAAAGGCATCCAAATGGAAAGTGAGAAGTAAAACTATCTCTATTCACACATGATGTGATTTTGTATAATACATAATGAGAACTAATAAAAGGGGTTCCATAAAGTTGTAAGATACAAGATCGATATGCAAAAACCAATTATATTTCTGCACATTAATTTGGCAATGTGGAAATGAAATTAAGAAATAATTCCACTTACAATAGCATTAAAAGAGAAAAATGTTTAAGAATAAATTTAACAGAAATTTAAACTTGCACACTGAAAACTACAAAACACTATTGAAAGAAAGTAAAGAAAACCCAAATAAATGGAAAGACATCCAGAAGACTTAATATTGTTAAAATGTCAATATTCACCAAACCAATCTATAAATGCAAATGAAACCCCTATCAAAATCTTAGCTGCCTTTTTTTGCAGACATTAAATGGATCCTAAAAATCATATTCAAATGCAAGGAGACACAGAATAACCAAAACAATCGCAAAAATAAAAAAAAAAAGTTAGGACTCACACTTGCCAATTTCTAAATTTATTGCAAAGGTGATCAAGACAGTGTGGTACTGAAGTAAGTGCTGTATACAAATATAGATCACTGGAATGAAGCTGAGAACTCAGAAATAAATCCTTAAATTTGTGATCAGTTGATTTTTGACAAAGTGCCAAGACAATTCAGTAAGAAAGAATAATCTTTCAACAAATGGTGCTGAGATAACTGGATATCCAATGCAAAAGAATGAAGTTGGAGTCTACCTTCAACCACATTAAAAAAAAAAAAAAAAAAAATTAACTGAGACCAGTCCAGCTATCCCAATGTAACAGCTAAAAACTCTAAAACTTTTAGAAGGAAACATAGGAGCAAATATTTGTGGTCTTGGATTAGGCCATGGCTTCTTAGATACATAAACACACTACAAAAAGAAAACTAGATAAACTTGATTACATCAAGATTAAAACCTGTGCTTCAAAGAACAAATGATACCTTTGATTCATGATCCAAGCTACACTATGGATGCACTCAAAAACATTATGCTAAGTGAAAGAAGACAGACACAAAAGGCCACATATTCATATGAAATTTCCCAAATAGGCAAATTCTTATAGACAGAAAGTAAATTAGTGATTAGTGATTAGCCAGGAGATAAGGGTGAGGGTATAATAAGGAGTAACTACTAATGAACATAGGATTTCTTTGGAGTTGATAAAATTGTTCTGGAATTAGAGAGTAGTAATTGATGTATGACTTTGCGAATATACTAAAACCCACTGAATTTACTTAAAAAGGATAGACTTTATGATATGTGAATTACACCTCAATAAAACTTTTACTTATAAAAAGGAAGGAAGGCTGAAATAGTGAACTGGAAAGCAGTCTGGAAACAGGGAGCTCAATTCAATATGTCAGAGAACCCCAGCTGAGGGTGTGATGATGACGGTGATCACAGCTATCACTTCCTGTAGAGGGACTAGAGGTCAAGCCCTGGGATGAATACTTTTCATTTACATACCATATATTTAGATATATATTCTCTCATTTATTCAGGAATATAGACTATTACCATTTTACAGATGAGGCAGCTGAGGCTCAGAGAGGTTAAGTGACATAGTAATCCAGCTGGTAATGGCAATGTCACAGGTTGGATCATCCCACACTCATGAGTATATGTTGTTAAATATGATAAAGGAGGAAATAGTTTGAGAGACAAAATTTTCAGCAGTAGCATCAGCAGGCAGGTGTTGGAGTCAGGTAAGGAAGGAGGAGGGGAAAAGAGTCCATTGTGACTGAATGACTGGTTTTGCTGACTGGTGGGCAGTAGTGACATTTAGAACCTAGGTAGGAACTATAAAAGGAGGCAAAGTTTTTAAAAAAGTAAGTGCCTTACATTTCTGCCTTTCTTGTTACATTATAAACACCTAAGAACAAGGGACATTCACTTTGGAACCCCTCATTCCCTGTCATGAGGAGGCATGTGGTAAATGTTGATTTGCTATGTGATTAGAGTTAAGGCACTTGGCCTCTCTGTGCCATTTCCCAGATTAAGAGGAGTTGCTGTACATGGAAGCTAAATTCCTGTTTAGCTCTGAGCTTTTGAGAGTCTGTGATTTTACTATCTCTAGCTTCTAGCTAGGGTAGAATAAGTGTCAAAATGTGGAAGGCAGGCTTAGGAAGCTGTGTGGCACTTGCTTCAGAAGTCGCTTCAGTGCCTCCTGGTGGCCATATCTGGGAACAACAAGCAGAATCATGGAATTGATGACATTCAGGCTGAGATTGCAGCTCCACCCACACTACCCAAAGGCAGAGGAAAAGGAGATTCCAGTTCATTCTCCCAAGGCAACAACTCCCAACCCAAGGCAATGTCTACAGCATTTACCCAGAGTTCCCCACACACTGCTTTGTACAGGTTCCTGCTAGATATACATTGCCCTGGGTGAGGTGATCCCTCTGAGATTTCGGACCTGATTATTGTCGCTGTCCTTAGGCAGAGATGGTGGAGTTCTTTAGCATACAGAAGGTGTTCAGTCTTCACAAAATTAATGCTAAGAATAATGGCCTATGTTTGTGGGGTGGCTTAGATTAGGGCCAGGGCCTAGCCAGGAACCAGAGGCTGAGGGGTCATGGCTAGTCTCAGGCTGAGGCTGGGGTAGAGCTGAGACTCATCAGATAACAGGCCTTTCCTCCATCCTAAAGTATATGTCTTCTGACCTGGACTCTGTGGCCTGAGGCCTGCCTGGTGCTACAGCATCCAGCCGTTGTTGGCTCTTCCAGGGCACCTCCTCTCTCTGCCCTGGCCTCCTGCCCACCTGAGAACCTTTGGAGGAGCCAGCTGCCCGCTTTTCCAAGAGAAGCCAAGCCCCACAGCAGACCCCTCTGCAGACCTCTCTACTGCCACATCTTGGTCGTTCAAATCAGCAACACTGTTTCCTCCCTCTGCACTTGCTGCTCTGCCCTTCAACTCTTTCCTGTCAAATTTTCAGTCACCTTTTGAGTCTTGGCTCAGGCATCAGGATCCCAGCTCAATGAGGCACCCCAGGTTGGGAGTAGAGGCATCTCTGTCACAGTTCTGACTGTCCTGGGCTCAGCTGTTTTCCAATGTTTGTTTTTGTTCCCAAGGAGTTTGCTCACAGTTTCTGGCACAGAGAAGTGGTCCCTGAGGTGGATAAATGGCAAGGACAGGCATTCAGGCAGTGGGAAAGTCAGAATGGGGTCCTTTAGTCTCAGCTGGGAAGGGTTTCCAGGTGCCTAGTACCCACTGAATTGAGTGGAATCAGAACAGAGAGTGGTGGTATTTTGTGAGACCAGGGTGTGGCATGAAAGCACTAAAGTGACAGCAGGCCAAGTCTCCCCCTTCATGGTATATATATATAAATGAGGCCAGGGGCAAGGAACACAGTGTGAGCAATCCATTGAGACCTTTATGGCTCAGCCACTCCAGGACCTTACAGCTGGACAGCAGCCCTTTAGCACATGTGGTAGGTACTGTCGGGTGACTCCAAGGATCCCTGCCTGCTGTATTCACTCCGTGTGTAATCCTTGAGGGTGAATTGGACTTTGTGACTTGAATCTGATGAACAGAATATGGCAAAAGTGACAGGTTATCATTTCCAAAATGAGGTTATAAAAGACTGATTTCTGTCTTGCACTCTCTTTTCTGATGTGTCTTGTTTACTAACTCTGATGGAGCCAGCTGCTATGCTGTGAGTTACTCTATGAAAGGGCCCATGTGGCAAAGAACTGAAAATGGCCTCTAGTCAACAGCCAGTGAGGAGGTGAATCCTGCCCACAACAACATGAATAACCTTGGAAGTGGATCCTCCCTCAGTCAAGCCTTGATATGCTGCAGCCCAATGCATACCTTGGCTACAGCCTTATGAGAGACCCTGAAGCAGAGGGCCCAGCTAAGCTGCATCTCGACTCTCAGAAACGGTGGGCACAGTGTTGTTTGAAGCCACTAAGTGTTGGAGTAATTTGTTACATAGCAACAGAAAACTAATATACCATACAGGGTCACATGGGCCAAAGGAGGAAGGGGGAGAGGGCTTGGCAGGCGGCCTGGCTGGGGCCATGATCTCCCCAAGTGATGCAGATGTATCCCCAGCAAGAACTCATAGAGGATGCTTGTTTTTATTTATTTGTTTAAGAATATACAAAAGTCTGACATGGTACAATGATCTCATCAAGAGAAAACAGAACACACATAGGAAGGGCTTGGTTTCTTCTCTGGCCCTCACCTTCTCAGAAAGGCACACATATATGAGGCTTGGGTTTGGGGGCCGACTGTTCTGGAACCAATCTGCTATTTAGAATGTCAAGCCCCTCTGTGAACAGGAAGAGGGACCCCTTCCTCACGCCCACACTTGGGGTGTGGTTAAGCAAACCGAAGCCACTGGAAGTATGGAATCCTTCTAGATGAAGGCTAGGTCAGTGCTGGGGCCGTGCCATCAGCCCCCTGAGGAAAACCAGTCACTCCAACCAGAATGTGGCAGCTGGATAATCCATGAGATGGCACATCTGGGACAGCCCTGTTCCCCAGCACAGGGTCATCACCGCCCTCATTGTCACTTTGGAGGCCAGTCCAGGCTCAGATTTGAAAGACTGGAGGTGTGGGGAGTGGCAGAAAGGAGAATCAAATTGGAACAGTCCAGATGCTCATCATTACACTCTTCAAAATGTGACAATTGTGTCCTTTGAGTCTTCCCCTTGGCAAGAGGGACTAGTCCTGCTGTCAAGTCAAGGTAGCTGGGAATAGAGGTGTTTGTATTAGAAGTAGTTTCTGCCCCTCATCCTCCAGGGGCAACGAACAAATAAATACTCTAACTGATCTGAGTCACTAATGGCTGTTCTTCTTCCCCAATTCACCAGGACTGAGTTTTCTCTGCAGTTTTGGGAAAGGAAGAAGAGGGGTTGGTTGAGAAACCATAAAGACCCATATGTGTTAGCCACCACCTAGAACAGGACAAACTGGAAGCGAAAGAGCTTGAAATACTCACTTTTTCCTTCTTAAAAAAGACCTAACATTGTAATGGTTTAACAAAATTATTATAATTTCTCTTAAATAACCCACAGACACCCATGACGCTTCCAAATTTACAGAACAAAAAGCAGTTGAGAACTTGGTAGAAAATGATTTGCAGCTGGTTCCTCCAGCGGCTGGCCTGAGGGCTGGCTCAGTTCACCTCCAGGACCTCGGTCTCCGGGAGGCCGAACTTGGTCTTGTGCTTGTCGAAGAGCTTCACCAGGGACTCCATGTACATGCTGTGGTACAGGTCAATGTCTTGCTGGGTCGGGTGCTCTAGCTTGGGGATGGTGATGGGCTCACCCACTGCAGCAATGGGACAGAAGCCTCTGGTTAGTCAATGCTATTTGGGCCCACCCTCCCTTGGGCCCACCCTCCCTGGGCGTCCACCATGATGTCAATGGCAGCAACCCTGTGCTACGTGCCAACCAAGTGCCAAATGTGCTCTATCTCAGGTTGTCCCTTTTACAAATGAGAAGACTGAGGCCCAGGGAGGTGGGAAGGGACCTGCCCAAGGCCACAGAGCCACTAAGCAGCAGGTGGGATAAAGACTGGCTGCACCCACTGCACTCAGCTGGAAGCTCCTGCGAGAGTTGTGGGATCAGGGAATGGCTTCGCTTTTGCCCTGCTCTGGGCAAGTCACTTCACCTCTCTGAGCCTTAGTTTCCTCATCTATCACATGGAGAACCTTCCTCACAGGGGCTTTGCTGAGGATTTTGTGAAATAACGAGACATGCTTTGAGAAGTGTGATAAGGGCGGAAGAGGGAGGAGACCAACATTCATACCTCTGTGTTTCATTTCCTAATCCTGTTTCATCTCCATACTCAATTCATCATGAAGTCCTCTCAAAGACATTTCTAAAATTTCCCCTAAGTTCATTGCAAGTCTCTTCCATTTCCTTGGTCCAAGGCACCAGCTACCACAAAAGCCTCCTGACTGGTCTTGTGGCTTCCATTTTTGCCCCTTCTAACTTATTTTCTATCCAGCACCTCCAAGGGTCACTTTAAAATGCAAATCTAAACCTCCCCTTCCCAAAACCCTCAAGTAGAAGGAGAAGAGCAAATTCCTTCACATTGCCCACAGGATCCTGTCCCTGTCCAGCCACCCCGAGCATGGAAATGTCCCTGCTGCCTCACAGAGATCAAACCGGGTATGGAATTTATATATAACAAGAGTCAAGGATGAGTCTTGGTCATGTGACCGAAAATGCAAAAAGTCAGTCTCTGTCTAAAGTGCAAAGCAGAACACCTGGCCCTGATTAATTCAAAGATCTATGCGAGCTTTGGCCCCTAACGTCTATGGTTTGTGGCCCACATGCTCTAGCTTGTGAACCATTAATACACATACACACGCACACACACACCATCTACAAGAGGTAATCCTTTGGAATCCTCTAAATGGCCCCAAATAAACCCAAAACAATACAGCTGAGGGCCAAATGCAGCCAGTTTTTTGCTACACTTCTCACAGGACTATGCTCCAGTCATGTCGATTTTTTTTATTTCTGCTCCTCGAAAATCTATACAATCTTACTCCGTGAACTTTACTTAGGCTTTTGTTTCTGACAAAACTCTCTCCCCTCACCTCTTTTGCTGGACAATTCCTATTCAGCTAACAGTGTAAAAGTCACCTCCTCCCTGGGGTCCACTATGACCCCCAGAGCACCTTGCACATCCCTCTCACACCCCCTATTGGTCTTTGCTGTAAAAAGGTCTTTCCTGATAAGACTCCTGGGTTCTGAAAACACAGAACTGCTGGGTCTTGCTTTCTTACTTGCACAGCTTGGCTCACAGTGGTAGAAATATTCTCCATCTTCCCACACTCACCTCCCACTAATCATTCCCACATGGCAGCACCCAACATGTCTTCATAGTTTAGAGCATGGACATCAGAGCCGATGGCCTGGATATGAATCCTAACTCTATCACTAACTAGCAGTGTGGCACCTCAAGTTCAGGGTATACAGGCAGGGGGGCTCACCGACAGTGGTGATAGGCTTGGAGTAGGGCACCAGCCCCCAGGTGTCAGAGGAGAAGAAGCCTCGGCCATGAAAGATACATGGGGCGAAGCCAATGTACTTCTGGAACTTCTTCTGGACCCATCGGCCCCAGGAGCCCTCCTCAAAGATTATCTGCTTGTAGACCTCATTCTCCCCAAAGGAGTAAGTGGGAACCAGGTCAGCTCTGCAAGAAAGAGAGAATCCAGGGTCTGTCACACCCCAATCACGGGCTTCGGTTCCTTCTGTCGGCTCTAGAGGCTTTGGATGCTAGCCAAACTCTCTTCCCCCAGGGCTGTGCCAGAATCACCCAGGGGATCCCAAACCATGTGTCCCCTCACTACCAGGTTCGGACAGGCCCTCCCCCTCTGTCCCCATTAGTGACTGGAGAGCATGTCAGGGCTTTGAGACAACTAGGCAAAGGGAAGGTGGAGAGCCCTGCTCTAAAATGCCTGTTCTTTCTTATCCTTCAGGGCCTGCCACTCCTGAGAAGTTCTCCGTGTCCCAGGCCCAACCTAGGCCTCTCCTGGTTCTGTGTCACAGTTCTCAGCATGCTGTGTTGTCACTGTCTGTTCCTCCCCACTTCCCCCTGCCCTGAATGCAGGGACTGGGTCTGATCTGATTGTGTCCCTAGTGCCTGGCACAGGAGTGGACCCAGAAGAGCAGCCTCCTCTGAGGTCTGAGGTAATGTCCTAAGGAGACAGAGGAAGGCTGGGTGGGGCCTAGGTGGTTAGTATCATCCCCAGCTCATGATTGACAGCAGGCTACATTCACACCCAGCTACATCTCCGGTGGAGGTTGGACATCTCAGGACCCTCCTCCTGGGGTCACCCAGAGCCCAGTTATGGTGGGGTGGAGGGAGCAGGGAAACAGTGGACCTGGAGTCCAAAGAGCTTGGCTCTGAATTTTACAGTACGGCCCTAACTGGATCACTTAGCATTACTCAGTTTTCTCAAATGGAAAATGGGGATGTCATCCCCTACGAGATTGCTGTGGAATCAAAGGGGACTTAGAAGTGAATGTGCTTTGTCAAATGAAATGTGCTGAACAAGTGGCCACACAGAATGTGCCTCTGGTCTTCTAGAAAAGGTCATGGAAATCCAAGCTGCCCAGCTCCTCTCTGCCTATCCTCAGTGTCACTCCTTCAGGAAGCCTTCCTTGATATTTCCAGCCATGCTATCCTCTTTCCTGGCCTCTTGCTCTCCTAGCAGCATGATATATTTTGGACCCAAGGCATAATCCTGCATATGAGCCTGGCTTCTCAGCCCACTGGCAAGGGCCCGGGGACACAGGCTCCATTTGTGCCCCACCCAGACACCCAGGCTATACTTGAACAACTTGGCCTGAACGTCTGGGCTCTAACCTCTCCTCCCACACAGGATGGTGAACTCTCTTCTGTGCCTTCCTGGGGTCTAGGCCATGCCCCCAGGAGCCAAGGAGTTGCTGCCCTGGGCAAAGCAAAGCTTCGGAGGGATATATGTGTACGTACATGTGCACAAGTATATGCATTGTGTGCGTGTGTGTGTCAGGAGGCTCTTACCCATGACGCAGGGCCAGTTTCACAAAGCCCTTGCGGTTGCGCAGGGTGACTGCATTCTTGCCAGGCATGGAGCTAAGGGATTCGGCTGCGCCCCCAACCACGATGATGATGGCATTGCCACTCCCATTCTTCGAAAGCAAGTAGTCTATGGTGTCCCGGTTCACAGGACAGATGCCTTGGGGGTGGGGAGAGGCACACAGTCAGGGCCACTCACAGAAGCACTACACTACCCACTGCCCACAGATAAAAAGAAAGAGCCTTGGACTTGGGCCCCACACCTAACCCAGCCACTTAGAAGTTGCATGGCCCTGAGTAAGTTATTCTTTTTCTGAGCCTTGGATTACTTATCTGTAAAATTGGGACAATACAAGGTTGTTTAGGGAACTCATTCATTTGGCAAACATTCCCTGAGGTTTTAATTCTGCCAGGCTGGTGCCAGGTGTTGGGAAGTCCAGTGAATCAAGCTGGTAGGGGGTTACAGGCAGCCATGGATAAAAATCAGATTGTGCAGAGGGCGGCACAGGCACTGGGGAGCCAAGAAAAGGAGTCAGAGAAGGCTTCCTAGGAAAGCTGTTATCCGAGTTGAATCCTGAAGACCGTATGAACAGCTCTCCTGTTCAACCCTGACCCACTGTGCCTGTGGCAGGCTGCATCTCTCAGCAAAGGACCAGCCACTGGAGCATGGTGTATTGACTTCCTGGCCTCTCTGTGACCTTGCCCAGTGGAGAGGATCAGGCCTTGAGAGTGGAGCCCAGCAAGGACAGGCAGAGGTGGATTCTCACCTCCAGACATCAAGTACTCCCTCAGCACTGGCATCCGAAAGTTGCCAGCCAGTGTGGCCAGGTAGGGCCTTATGCCAGGGAACTTCTTGCTCACTTCCGTGGCCTCTGTGCTGAAGTTACAGAAGGCACCCAGGCCCATGATGCCATGGGGGTGGTATCCGAAGATGTAGTTCCTGGTGGTCAGCAGGTTGTGTGTCTTGGGAAAACCCGAGGTGAGAGGAAACCGACCAGGTGATGGGTACTGGGGCATGCCCAGAAAGTAGGGGACAGACTGGGTGTGCCATGCCCCCTGGCACTCTGGGCCTAAAGTGACTCCACACCTGACCTCACTCTCATCACTGGGGCCACAGTGCCTGGTGCTCGGTGGTCATGATTTGGACTGCGAGTCTCTGGGAATGAGGAGTGGGGAGACTTTCTCTTTTATTCTTCCTATTTTTCCAGCCAAACGCACCAAGTCCTCTTATTCGCACTCTGCCAGACTCCTGCCTTCCCTCCCTCTGGGACCATCGTCCTCACCACAGCCAGAGTGACTGTTCTAAAACTCAGTGCAACACCTGTCACTCTCCAGCTCCCATTGGGATAAAGTCCAAGTCCCTTAGGCTGGCTAGAGAGGGAACAGTGGAGCTGGCCAGAATGGAAACTTCCTTCTAGGCAGCCAGGTTCAGCTCGGGCTTTGATGCAGGAAGGACAAGGGCAAGCAACAAACCTTGTGCCAGCCACATTAGGGACAGGGAGGTCGCTGGGCAGCTGACGTGTGGTTCTATTAACAAAGCTGTCCTGGGATGCTCTAAAGAATGATCAGCTTCCCTGGGGCCCACCCTCTGCCCTGAGGCCAGTGGCTTGGAGGGTGGGATGGGTGGTGCCAAGTTTCCCTAAACCTTGAGCAACAGGAGGCACCTACCCAGCACTACAACAAACACAGTGGGGTTGGAGGGTAGGAAGAAGGGTGGAGAGCATCGATATTTTGTTTGGAAAATAAAATATTTGTTTGCTGATTAGAAAAATAATGACTGATTAGAAAAATATAGGAAAGTAAGAACAGAAGCACCTGTCATCCTCCAGCTAAACTACTCTGATATGTTGAGTCATTTTTCTACTCAAATAATATACACATGCTTTAAAAAAAAAAAAAAAAAAAAAAAAACCTTACAAAATAGAAGTCATGTGGTGGATACCATTTTTACATAACTTCTTACCAAGCATATGATATCTATTCTTCCTTATCACAATTCCTCCGTAACACGTCTTCTTATGGCTGTATTATTCTGTCACACAGCTATCTACATGTAATGGAACTATAATCAAATCCCAACTGATGGACCTTTAAAAAGTTTCCAAAATTTCTCTCAGAATTTCTCTATGCTTCTATAAATATCTTATTTTTACCCACATGTCTGATTATTTCCTTGAGACAAACTTTTAGAAAAACAGTTCCTGGGTCAAAGGATATGAACATTTTGGTCCTATGGGCTGCCCTACCTCTCTAGAGCGGTGGCACTGATGACACTGCTACCTGCAGAGCATGAAAGTGACCACTTCCATGCAATGGTGCCAACTGGAAGCAGACACTGGTCATTGGCAGAATATCAAGAGCCTAGGTTTTCCATGACTCCAAATTTGGGAACCTCCTGGCTGAGGGAAGCAACCTGTGCTCAATTGGGGGCGGGGTGGTGGTAGAGGGAGGGTGGCTGGCCTCTGGGAAACTGAAATCTGAATCTTCAGGTGAGGAAGGCTGGAGGGGAGATGGAAGCGAGATTGGCTGGCACTATTGCCAGCTCTGTAACTGCCCATATGTGTAAGGGTAAGCAAGACCTCTTGAGTTTTAACCCCTATTGCATTCTTACTCTTTATTCCACTTTGCCTTTGGCAAGCAAATTAAAGCTGCTCAAAACCCAACCAACTCTTAGCTGTCCACTACATAAATGGAGAAAAGCAGCAACTTAATCCATGATTTGTGGGGTGGGGGCAGTGAGATCTAATGGGAGCCCAGCTTTATGAGCTTTGCAAAGAGGTCGTCCTGACGTTTTGTTACCTAAAGAGCAGGTCTGCCCACCACGTTAGCTCTCAGTAAACTAGAATGAAAAAGCACCTTGTGCCAGTTTCCACGAAGAAGGAAGGTGCTGAGGTAAGCAGAGGCAGCCAGTAGCACGCCAGAAACCTGCTCCTGAGCTGGTGGCCAGGCCTGGGAGCCCAAAGTACAGAATGGGTTGGCAGAGCCCTCATCTATGCCATTCCTTTCATAAGAAGGGGAAAACTGAGGCCTAGAGAAAGCAGTTGCTGCTTTCCTAGAGGGTACAGTGAAACATCCTCTACCTCTAATGAGGCCGCTCAGGTGTGCTTTTCCTGGGGCCTGAATTATAGATGTGTCACCTGGTGGAACCCTAGCTGGCTCTTTAAATCATTTCCTTCTTCCCCAAGCCTCTGTCTGATAGGACATTTGATTAAATGAGGTGCCTTGGGGGCACAGTACAAGTTAATGGCCCTGGTGCAGTACCCAGAAGAATGCAGTCATCTGATGCAGCTTTGATCTGTCTTTGCGTCACAGTACCTTCCTCCTAGGACTGTACAGAGTGTCCATCCTAGAGAGAAGAGGAAGGACACTGCTGATGAAGGCTCTGTTGACATGTCTGCTCTTGTGTCCCCTGACTGCCTCCCATAACAAAGTCTCTGTCCAATGTGGTGGCCAGGCCAGGCCTGCTGGCTCATGTAAGCCTGGAATACATTCTCAGCAAGTCACTCCTCACACTCTGCCTTCCAGGGAAGGAAAGATGCTCAGATAGGCTTGTGCCACCCTGGAACGATATAGAGGGAAACTCGAACCCAGAGAAGAGCAGAGATTTGCCTGAGCTCACACAGCAGGGCACGGTGGCAGAGGAACGCAGGAGTGAGAACCTGGGCCCCAGAGAAGACAGCCTTGGTTCCTATACCAGTCCTGATATTGATTTGTCTTGTGACCTTGGGATAGTCCCTCCTCTTTGGGCCTCAGTAGGCCCATATGTGAAATTAGGCAGATAGACAGATAGATGATCCTAAGCTCAGAGAGTCTCTCCTAGTCTCCTCTCCAAAGATCCTGCCTCTCTCTCAGGAATCAGTGACCCAGGCACTATCCACTCCTCTCCCAGGTAGCCAGCAGTCCTGGTGGCTATGCTAACACATGAGCCTCATCTCTGCTGAGATAAGGGATGCTCTCTGGGTCAGCTGAGCTGCTCTGGTGGCAAAGAGCAAAGAGCCTCCACTAAGAAAGGAGAGGAGAGGTGTGGGTAGGTGGTACAGCTAAAGACCATCATACGACCATTGGCAAGAGGCTGGGAAAAGGGGGTGAGACAAGAGGGTCATATACAACTTCACAGTGTATCAGCCCTGATGCCAGGTCACCAAGGCCAAACCCTCTCACAGAAGAGAAGCTTGAGACCCCAAGCAGTAGCTTGGCTAAAGTCACCAGCAGGCAAGAAGAGAGCCCAGGCTGAGCTCCGACAGCCCAGCCCGTCTCAGACCTAGCGTGGCTTTGGTCCTGGTGCTCAGGGGCCTTCCCAGGGCCAGCTCACATGTGTCTTGTGGCTCCAACTCCCAGCTGACTTCTTAGAACAGAGGTGTGATAAGGGACATGGGATTCTGTTTTTGTTTTTTCAAAAAGGCAAAGATCACCAGGGAAGGGCATTCGCCTGTCCCAGTTCTGACCAACAGTCATCAAGTCACCCTCTTCTGGGTGGAGGGGCCTATCGGCCTTGAGGAGGTTTCCCAAGGGGCAGGCCACCCTGCACATTGAGGCCTGGCCCCTTAGGCGAGGGCCGCAGTAGATCATATGAACAGCTCCATTCTGTACAAGGTTAATGAAGCTCACTGAGCTTGAGAAAATGAGCCTATGGTCTCAAGGGCAGAAAATGACAAAGTCTAGCAGGATCTGTTAAGATGATGAGCCCACCTGAGGGCAGGGACTAAGGCTGACCCTTCTGTATCCTCATGCCTAGCACTGCACAGGAAGCAACAATTGTCGATCCATGAATGGAGTGACAAAGAGCAGGAACTCAACCCAGATCTACAACAGCCAAATAGAGGGAGACTCAGGAAGCAAGGCTCAATCCAATAGGACATCTGGGACTGAATCTTTCACAGAGAAACAGGCAGTAAGAATTCAGTGGGAAAGAACCTGGGGCCCAGATTCTAGTACTAATGCTGGCATGGACTCGCTGTACACGTGGACCAGTCCTTGCCTCTCTTTGGGAGTGTTTCCTCACCTCCAAATTGAGAGGGTTGGGTCCCATGAGGCAACATCCTCCCAGCAATAACATCCTTGAATTCCTTGCAGCCAGAGAGATGGGGTCAGGGAAAAAGAGGAGCAGGAACCCCGACCCTGAGGATCCTGGGAGAAGTGGGCTTGGGCTGAGGTGGGCAAAGGGAGCTAGCCCTTGGGCTGCCCCACAACACCAAGTGCAGTGAAGGAATGTGCGGTTACCACCTCCCTCAGGCAGCATGCCAGGATGTCTCAGTCACTGACTCACAACAGCATACATAGACCACCCTGTGTCATGCACATTTTTATACTCTTCAGACCCCACTCTCTCTTGCTGGGTTACCTCAGCAGCTAGGGTGTGCCGGGGCTGAGGTGCTGAGCGGGCTGGCCAGACAGGTCTTTCCCCTGCAGGGAAAACCTTCAGGATTCTGCCAGAGTTATCTAGAATCTACCAGCTTCATCCATATGCATCAGGGCCCAGATTCCTCTGCCTTGTCAACCGAGCTTGCAGACCACAGGCAGGGTGACTGAGATGAGACTGAGAGCCAGACCAAGCCACCATTTATCCTGTCAGGACCTAAAGGTTGGCCTAAGAGAAGACGGGCTCAGAAGACCAGAAGACCAGTGTGGGGGGCCCAGAGGAGCCAATGGTGCAACAGGAAGGAAACTCAGAGACCAAACTCGTCTAAACTTGCTTCATATGGGGAGACTGCACCCTGAAAGATACGGTGCCTCACCCAGAGCCATATTGGGCTTTTCCTGCCTCCGTCCACCAAGCCTAAGAGAAGCCTGAGTGTCTCCCCAAGCTTATTTCCCATGGCTCTAGTGCACAGGAGGCAGCGTGCTACAGTGAGAAGAACCCAGACTTTGAGGAAAGACAGCAATTGAAATCTTGGCTCTACCCCTCACTAACCCCAGTCAGCTTTGTTACTCTGACCTTCAGCTTTCTCTTCTTTAAAAAGGGGATAAAGTTAATATCCCCTACAGGGTGCTGTAAGGGTTAAAGGAGACTCCTTGGAGAAAGGTATTGGCTCCTAGAAAGCCCAGTAAATGGAGATCCTCCCTCTGCATTCCACAGGCTTCTTCTTCTCAAATTCAGGTGCCTATGCTCTTATTGTTTTCCCTGACTCTTCAGTGCTATTTATCTTTAGGATGCAGTCCTAGGAGCAGCTACTCTAGAAGCCTTCCCCAAGCCCTTCAGCAACTAGGGTCTCACTCTTCTTTCAATACACATCAAATTTCCTGGGTCCTCATTCTCATGGCCGTGACCCCCAGCAACCCATCCATAATTGTCTGAGAGAAGTGATATTTCTGTAAAAGCTTCAGAAGGAAAGGAGGCCCCTCACACCTATTGTTATGCTTGGTTTAGTGCTAACCTTGGTTTAAGCCGATGGAATACTTTAGCATTGCTCTTGATAAATCAACTCCATTTTTAGTTATGCCTTTCACATTCACTGAAAGGCAGACAAGCGATGGCCGGAATATCTGCTCTTATACCTGCTAATTGTATCACTCAGGATCTCAGCGTCTGAAACATCTTTTAGGTCCAAATGCTAGAACGAGTCTTGTTTCCCAAGGAACTAGCAAGCGTTTTCCTTTCTCCAAATGAGAACCAACAATCACTTTTCCCCTTTTGCCCTGGCTGCCAGGAAGCTCAGAGCTAATGATGAAGCTCAACTACCACAACTTTGTTGACCCTTATGGCTGAAATACTAGTATTTTTTTCCCTCAAGTCTTGATTTTTCTTTTTACCTGGTATGGCATTTTATGTATGCAAAATTGCTCAAATCCTGCATTAAGTGGTGTAGAGTATGAACAAATGATCATAGTGGGAGATGTCACATGGTTCAACTCAGCACATGTGGGCACTGTGGATGGGTAGGTTAAGGCTTCAATTCAGATTTCCCATCCATCCCCACCCTCTCAAGATAATACCCGCAAGTCTTTACCTGGATGGGAAAGTAGTCTCGAAAGTAGCGCCAGACAGCCCAATTTCGAACCCACTGTGACCTCCTGCCACCTTCCAGAGAACAAAATACAGTGTTGAGAAGGAGTGGGAGTGAAGGAGGGTGACATTCAAGCAAGGCAGACATGACAGAGCCAAGGTAAAACCCTGAGGTAGGTGACTATCACCCTGTGCTGTATCCTTTCCCTTTCCCACTGGACCCCTCCCTTTCCCTGTTTGTTCCCTCATGCTATGCAAACCCTTGATTGAGCATAAGCTCCTACAGGAAGTGAATGGTGCCCTTTGAGGCACTTTTACTACCCCCGTGTCCTCCCCACCACACACACCCAAAACCATACCCTAGCCTAGCCCGACGCTTTTCACATAGTAGGTGTTAAGTAAAAAGGAGCAGCACTCACAATGAGGAACCTCAGCTTGTGCAGGAGGGAGGGTTCTGAGGGTGCAGGGGTGAGGCAAGGAAACCCATGCCCTTACCTTTTTTGGGCGTGTTCCAGTCAAACACCAGCCAGGTAAAGTAGAGCACAGCGATGAGCCAGCAATCGGTGCAGAATGTGTACATGAGGATGACGCTGCAGGCCACTCCTGGAAGGCAGGCAGATGGCCACAGGTCAGGCTCTGTCCTCCCCTGGGTGGGCCTTACTCTCCTCTCTGGTTGAGGGCTCGCCAAGGGACTGAGTGAGCCTTTATTGTGGCACTAAGCTAGGCACAGCTGGGGCCATTGGCACAGCCTGGGGAGGAGCAAGCTCATGGGGACATGAGTCTTGTCTCTTAGACTCTGATGGACTGTCTTGGCATCAAATGGCCATGGGCTCCATGTTGTCTGGGCAATAGGAACAGTGAAGGTGGACTTCAGCTTCTTGTGAAGCTTGCCTTAGAGCCGTTCTTCCTGCCCCCTCCTTGCATGTTCTCTCCACCTCAGTGCCCAGCACAGTTACCACAAACAAGGGGAGAGGCCTACCAAGTACCTCCACGTCCCACGACATAGGCTGAGCCACTGTCTTAAACCTGATGTTGGGTGACTTTTACACCATTTTAGAGATGAGAACACTGAGGCTCTAGGAGAGAGTAACTTGCCCAGGGTCAGCCAGCAGGCTAGTGGCAGAGCCAGGATTCAAACCATAATCTGTACGAGGCTTTAGAAATTCACCAAAATTAGAAGCCCCTGACTATCACAGGACAGACCCGTGAGAGGGGTCCTGCCCCAGGAAGAGGACTGGCTGCTTCCAACATGACAAAGTGCCAGGTAGTCCCAAGCAAAAGCCCAGAGCCCATGAGCAGGACACTCAGAAGCCTCCCTGGGGCCAGCTTTCATGTAGTCACTTTTGTTCTGGGCCTGTTGGCCATAAGGCTGAATAACATGGCACAGAGAGGGAGAAAGGTCCATGCCAGGCCTGGTTTGCCTCATGGCTCGTCCCTAAATGCCCTCATCAGGGCTTCTATCTTTCCAATTTTTCCCTAGCCTTCAAGGCATAGCTGAGATATCATCTCTCCAAGAACTATTCTCCAATATGATACTCTCCTCTCACATGGATCTCTCACCTTCGAATTTTCCACACTGGGGGGTGAGGGGGTGCACATGTCTCTTTTGCCGCCTGGCACTCAGCACAGGGCTGGGGGCAGCAGGTACTCATGCTTGGTAGAAGTGTGGCCTCCATCCAGTACCCTCTCCACTGCCCAAGGAGGGAAGCCAACCCTTGCTGTATGTCCACTCTCTGTTGGGCACTGTGCCGGTCAGGGGTACTCTAGAGCTCTGCCTAGCTCTGATTCCATGTTCTCTTCCTCCTACCATGCTGAGCCTCCTCTGGTTTCCTGAGGGAAAGGGGAGGGCCAGCATAGACTCTCCATGAGTCTAAGGGCAGGAGAATGGCAGTCCCTTGTCATCTACAATCCAGTCCTGTTCTAGACTCCTGACCTAGGCTCTCCCCAAGGTAGGTGAAATCCTACAACTATCTGAGGAAGGGTAGTAAACATAGAATGACCAGGCATCCAGTTTTTCAGGACCAGCTTAAGAGTGAGTGTGACATCACAGACAGGGAAGATGAGTCTCCAGGGAAACACTTGTAGCCTACCAAACTCTGTTAAAGGCAAACTGTGAAGTGCTTGAGGTGACTTGGTGAATGGCTATGTCTAAGTTAAAGCCACTTACAAAGTCACTCGCATTGTTGAGGAGTTTGCCTCTGGTCTCTTTTCTCAGGCCTGGAAAGGGACATTTTAGCTCCCTAGATTCCACAGGTATCCAAGTTCCTTCAGAAGCCAGGTAGATGCTCTAGGTAGACCTGAGAGGGCCTGTGAAGTTCAGGTGAGGGTCTGAGCAGCCTAGAAACTTAGCTGCCATCAAACTACTAACTCTCCCGAGAAGTAGAAGAACCAGAGCAGCTGAACCCCAGGCCCACTGCCTACATGTTTGGGCTTTCTGGGAAGGTAGGAATCCCTACCTACTATCTACTATCTTCTCTCTGGTGCTAAGGCAGCCTGGATTGAGGAAAAGACAACGGACAGAGTCCGAAGACTGCGTTCCAGTTCCAGACCTTCTCAGCCTGGGGTGCCCACTCTCCCTAACTCCTGTATGTTCACAGCCTCTCTCTTGCAGAACTCAGCATGTCTCGTCATTATCTGCCTCTCCCATTAGACTCTTTCTGGCAGGTAGTCCTTCAGCTCCTGAGCACCTTGGGAGCCAGAACTGGGTCAGATTAACCTCTCCAGCCCCAGCAACCAACACAGCAAAGGTTTATCGAGCAAAAGTGAACTAAATCTACCAAACAAACTTCCTTTCTCAGAGCCTAATTCCAGTCCTCTGAACAATGGGCTCCCTGCTCCACCCTCTTAGGTTGTGGGGCTGCACAGGAACCAGCACCACAGGGTCCATGAGATGTGAACAACTACTTAAAAGCCCCAATGGTTCCACATGTGGAAGGCTCAGGACCATCTGCACAATCACCCCCTCCCCACACATCATGGTAAAGTTTGTGATTCAAAACTCTGGTCCTTAGGGCCTGTGAGCAGGGCAGCCTGTGGCTGCTCAGTGGCAGAGAGGCAGCAGAAGCCCTGTGAAGAGCAAGAACATGCTCTTCCGTGAAGCCCTGGCCCTGCCAATCACTAGCCACAGCCCATCCCTGACCTTCAATCTCCTTACAGGGTGTTGGGAAGATTACATGAGATGATGCGTGAAGAGGACTTAACACACAGTTAAGTGTCTAATCAAAAATCCATGGACTTGGATGGGGAAAAAAAATGACATCTTAATTTTTACCCATCTCTTACGGATATTTAGTACTTCCTTCATTTATGAATGTAACAGACCACAATAATATTAGCAGTGCTATTGACAGTGACACCAATAGAAAATAGAGGTGTTTTCATATCATGTTTATAGCTATTGCAGATATCTCGGAAAATCATTTATTATCATTACTACTTAAGAATTATAGTAATGATTATGCCTGCTGCTAGGTCTTTTTATTTGCTATAATAATAAAAAGCGCATGTGTTACTATATGTCTAAATTGATTTTTTAATGTGTGCATATTTATATTTCAGTATCATTTCAGTATTGGACTTTTGAAGTCCGATGTACTTTGTATTACATACTTAAAAACACTGAGAAAGGTTTATAGCCTTTATCAGGATGCCAGAGGGGTCCATGGTAAAAACGTAGTGAAGAGTCACTCTGTTCCAGAAGGAAGCTGATGGGGCCACAGCAGCCTTTGCAGGGGAGCCTCTGCCAGCAGGTGTGGGTGGCAGCAGGAGGGAGTGGCTGGGCTGCTCAGGGTAATAATTAGCAGCAACTCAACAGACCTGCTGTTCTTACAGGGCTTGGCTCCCACCTACACAAGGGTGTTGGGAAGATGCTTGGCCAGTTTCTGGGCTGTGGTTGGGCTTGTTAACCTACAGCTCAGGGCCACAGCCTATTGTGTGCTGCATGGGCTGGGGTTTCACCCGCTGCTCAACTCCCCATCAACCAAGCTCTGACCCACTCAGACAAGGATAGTAGTGGCTTCTTGGTGCAAATGGGGACTAAGGGAGCTGGTGCCACAGACAAGGCAGGAGTCTGGGAGGCTGAAGTCTACAGGGTCTTTTCTTGGTGCTACTAGTTCCTTCTCATGTGATTCTGAATGAGCTCTGTCCCACTGGGCCTCTGCTTCCCACCTGAAAATGGAGTAATCTGGGTTATACTGCGCTCTCTACTCCAGGATTCTAATAAGTGGCCAAATGCAGGCTGAGTTTGGGGTTTGAGCCCTGACGGAGCCAATTTAATTTGCCCTATTGCCGAAACCAGTGTTTTTTATCTTTCTGAGGCCATATGTCCTTGTAAGAAAAGGTCAGCAACTGCCTTTGACCCCAGAAAAATGTGCACATACTCTCATATATTACTTTGAGCTGTATTACTTTTGGGCCCAAAGCTGAAGACTGGCCGTTTCAGAGCAAGTCCAACAATTCTGCGCTCCCTGTTAAGGTGGGCACCCTGGTGGGAGCTCTGGTCTCCACCCAGATCCCAGCTCTGGACTTAATGGGCTTCACAGCCTCACTGAACCTCCATGAGTTTCCATTTCCTCACCTGCAAAGTGTGAAGTCAAGACATGGCAAGTGCCTGGTACACTATGGGGACTTGATAAATAGCACCTATGTACCACCCCTGTGCCCTGCAAAGGGCAGGAAAGGCAGCACAGAGCTGCCCGGAAATGTAGGCTCAGAGGCCCCCATGCCCACTGGAAGGATGCTTGCTCAGCACTAACAAGGTAACTCTTGATAATTCCAATCGGCCTGGACAGTTTTGAGACTGGGCCACCAAGAGGGACTTGCCCACAGACACTGGAATGTACTCTATGCTGCTCTGCAGCAGGTTTGTCTGCCCTGATGTGCTGGGGAAGCCACTTATTATGCTGGGGACACAGGGGCCTGGGGAAGACAAGAGGCTGCTGGCCCCGTGGATCCTTTCCTCCTCCCACATAACCCACAATGTCCTGAGCCTGGTCTGGACGGCAATCTAGGGAATGAGGGCACCAACCTGGACCTGCAGAAGCAGCAACCAAAGCACTCACGTGGGAGGTGTTGAGAGGGGAGGAAGCACGCATTAGACGAGCTGGCTGTGGAAAGCAGCTGGGGACTGTTCACGGGGTGTGTGAGAACCCACCACAACCAGTCTCTGTGCCACCTGCTCTCATTCCTTATCCCCACAAAAGCCATGTGAAGTAGGCAATATGTTCCTCCCATTTGAAATGAGGAAACTAACTTTCAGACAGATCAAGGAACCTGGGTAAGGGAACAGAGTTTGTTTGTGGTAGAGTTAAGACTCAAACCGAAAACCATAGTACCTTAAGACAAAGTAATATACCTGCTGGAAATGTTTATTGGTGGGCAGGGCACGTGGGAAAAGCACAGGCTTTGGGGTCCTATAGATCTGAATTCAAATCTGTGTGACTTTGGACAAGTAACTTACCTTCTCTGAGACCTGGGTTTCCCATCTATAAAATGGGAACCATACCACCACCTCCCACCGAATCTCACTAAATCCTCACACATGATTAGGGGTAGAGTACTTGATCGGGGACCCAAAAGGTGGAAAGTGGGAGGATGCTCTTACCCCTCACCCTTGAAGAGCAGAGCTCCTGTCCTAACCTCTGTTGGGAGATGGCCTCCACCTGCCCTCACCCCCTAAGCCCTGGCTTACCCAGCACAAGGAAGGACAGGACCCACTGAAGCACTGAGATGATCTGTAGCTGCTTTTCCACCTTGGATCTATTCAGCCAAGTGATAGAGAAGAGGTCCTGGAGGGCAGAGAGGATGCTGGAGCCAGTGCCTATAACAGAGGAAAGATGTCAGCTGGCTGCCACAGTTCCCTCCAACCTCAGAGTCCCCAACACTGCCCTTAGGCACCTTCCTAGATGTGAGAAGAGCATGGGTCACAAATCAGCAGGCCTGGGTTCAAATCCTAGCTCTGCCACCCAGTAGCTTTATAATTCTGGGCCTCCCTGTGCTCCAGTTTCTATATATACCCAATTGGAATGATGTCCCCTCAGAGGGTCATTTTAGAGACCCTCACTTTGGAGGTCTCTAAAGAGGCTAGGGGGAGGCTATCCATAATTTCCCAGTCTCTCCCTCCACCTCAAACTCTTGTCCTTTTCTTTTATCTGGATCCAGGACAAATATTTGATCTGTGCTATCTGTTTCTGTGAGGCCAAGGACATAGGTTCAACATCCAGTTTGTAATGTTTTTTTCTCCAACTGTACTTTGAGCACGCCCAATCCCTGCCACCCCGCTCCCCTTATCCCCAAGACTGATACCCTTTCTCCTGGAGCTGAGGCCTCTTGCCCCAACCCCCAGCACCACCGATATCATGACCACCAGCACTCTCAGCTTCACCTTAGTGCCCAAAGCTTGGAGCCCAGAGAATAATTAGGCCAGAGCCTTCACTTCCGCAAAGCACCCAGTGGCCAGTGAGCTTAAGGCAGCCTTGGACACTGAGGGCTGCAATTATGCTTGCTACCAAGCAAGTGCCAAGCCTGGAAGTTAGAATAAGATATGCCCACTTAATTGACTCTGTGGCTGTGTCCCCAGGATGACACTCCAGACTCCAGTGGCTGATGGGCAGTGTGACCAGAAAGCCTGGTCATTGCGGGAGAGGCAACACTGGGGAAGAGCATGGGCAAGGCTCCTAATGCATTCCTTCCGCCAGCTGGACCAAAGGAGTGGGCTATTTCAAATGTCTGCTGAGCCCCAGCTGCATGCCCTGTGCTCAGCACAACTTCACTGTCTACTGTGTGCTGGTCAAACATTCCTTCACACTAAGTCATAATCTTGTCCTTGAGGGTCTCAGGACCTTTCACCCTGGCCTACTGCTGGGAGCGGGAGGGAGACGGTTTAGGGGCTTACACTCAAGCCTTTGCATTTCTTCAAAATCTGTAGAACAACAAGGTCACAGCGAGTTTAGAAAGGAACATAATACTCATCACCTGAAAGTCAACAATTACTTTGACTTTTAGGAGGTACACAGATAACATCAGGCCTCAAGGTAGGCATACCAGTCCTGTCCCCTTTACCTGGTCTAATGGATCAGAGGGAGGGGGCTTGATGCAGCAGAAGAGTCAGACTTTAGTTCAAACTTTGGTTCCACTCACTGTGTGACCCCAGACAATACCACCAGGGCCCCCTAACATGTCCTCAGGGAATGTTACACAAATTGGGTGTAACACACAAATTGGGTGCTCAGAAGCATCTAATACTCCACAGGTAAACTGGACCGGAGGTGGCAAAATAATAAATAAAAAGGCTGGGCCACAGAGGCATTCTAGAGGTTTGGCACATAAATGTTCCTTCACCCTCCATATAAAAATCCTACTGTCACAGGCCCTTCCCATCACCACACTTTCCTAACAACCCATCTTGGAGACTAATGGCCCTCTGAGGTCATCTAGAATAGTCCAATGGGACCATCAGGGAGACTCTGAAATTCACTGACTCGTGCAGGGTAACCCAAGCAGTAGAGCCAGGGCTGGAACCCAGGATTCCTTCCCTCTGCTCAGGTCATCATCTTTCCTCTCATAGCAAGTACCAAGTGCTCATAAGACACAGTCAAGTCCAAGGATAGGGTACGCTCAGGGCCTGGTAAACCAGGCCCTGGTAAACCTGTTAAGAAATGGGCAGAAGCCTGGGGAGGTAAATGGGGAGGGAAGTGAGGCCCAAGCATAGGCCTGAACTCTTGCTCCAAGGGCTAGCCTCCTAAGTCATCCCTAGCAGCTGGCTCTGCCTCCTGAGCTATGCCAGATGAGGTGAAGCAGGGGCCATGGCAGCTAAGATTAGGCTTAGGGGTAGGCAAGTCCCTGTTCTGGGTCCAGAACAGGCCAGTGCCCTGGGTGAAGAAAAGATAGAATGGACTCCATCCAGCATCTTTCTACTCAAAGTGTGGTCTGGGAGCTGTTTTGAAGTACAGGATGTGGGGCCCCAGAGTGGATCTACTGAATCGAAATCTGCATTTTCACAAGTTCCTCAGTCCAAAGTCTCAGGTAGGGCAAGTCTGGGGTGGGGGGCAGGGGCAGAGGGAGAAGCTGGGCGCCTCTACCTTCTCCTGGGCAGGGAAAGAAAGCCAATGGGGGGAAGGACATCAGACATTGTTTCATTTGACCACTGCCTACTGCAAACAAGACCTGAGGCCAACATCTTGATGAATGCTTAAGGAAAGGGCTCTGGGTCCAGCCTCTGCCTTTGGGTCAGGGCCAACCAACCGGTTGTTCTTATTACCACTACGTGAGCTCTCCTGCTTGGAGGGAAGTGGGGCATATAGGAATTCCATGTTGGCGACGTATCCCCCATTGAAACAACCGAAAAAACCTGGGTCTGCTAAGCTTATTAGAAGTCTCTCACAGTTAGACAAGGGCAGAATGCAGGAGCTGCAGACCATCTTGTCCAGCCCTCACCCAGATAGGAAGAGGGCCTGAGGGACCTGCACAAGCCCCACAGCAAGTTGGACAGAGCCAGGCTTTTCCCATGCTACCCAGTCTGTTTTCAACCGGCTTTGTCTCAACTACAGCCCATAGCTGGCTCTGCAACAAAGTGGGAAATGTGCAAGTCCACTGAGGAGTGTCAGATGTCCCTGTGGGAATCAGTGAGTGGTTGCCTAGAGAGGGAGGCCAGGAACGAGCTACCACTCCACACTCCTCAGGCCGGGGCCCGCTCAGTTGCCTCTTGGCCAGACGATTCCAACCTGGCTGACCACAGAGCCCAACCCCAGGAGCTGGCCTGTCCATGACGCTGAACCCCAGCCCCGTGGAAGCCCCATACAGACCTAAGAAATATTGAGTCATTGCTATTCTGCCTAGGAAGCCCCTCCTCACCTTGCCTACCTGATGAACCCCTGATAATGGGATAAGGCAGTTCTCTTTCAAAACCCAGACAGGGCAAGCCTTTGGAGAGAGGTTGTCTTTCCTTCTCTGGGATTATAAACTCTAAGACCTATACAAGCCTGGAATTGTCAGGGCCCATTTTACCATCAGATCACCAGCCCCCCACCACCGCCCCCTGCCATGGAGAGAACCTTCCTAAAGATGAAGTCAGGAGAGGCCAGAAGTACGGAGAAATAAGAGAGAAATGGAGTCCTCCCTCTGGGCTCCCACAGCCCCGCACCTTGTACTCACTACTGGTTACAAGTCCTTCCTCCCATCATCCTGGAATCCGTCCAAAGGCCAGGCCTGGCTCTGAGCCACATCTGTGTTCTTAGTGTCCTGCCAGGGCCTGGCCCAGAGTGAATACTCAGTAAGGTTTGCTAAGTGAGAGGAAGAGAAGGTCTCTGCTCTGGCTGTTTCTCAGGCCCCCGGGCTCTCTCCCTGTAGGGTTGGGTGACAGATATGTGCCCACATGGTCCATGAAGCTTCGGGGGCTTCCATAGCACTTCCACAGGTTCTCTGACTCCTCATCAGGCCTGTGAGTTTGGCATCATCACTCCCATTCTGATGGTGATAAAAATAGCTCAGGGAAGTGACATAGCCAAGGACATTTGGTCAGAGGGTGCCAGAGTTGGGCTCAAATCAGCCTTAACATCCAGGCCGGCATTCTATCTCTATGCCGCAGGTCCCCCAAGTTCCTTCTCTCATCTCCCCATGACAAAGTGGGGGAAGGTTGGGAAGGGATGGGGGGAAATGAATGACCTATTTTCCATCAGAGGAGCAAGCCAGAAGCAGGTGTCTTGTGTAGCAGGAGTCTAAGTGGCAGCAGGCCTTGGGGTTCCAGTCCCAGCTCTGCCACCATGTCCTGCATTACCTCTAAGTCCCTTGATCTCTCTGGGCTTCAGTTTCCCCATCTATAAAATGGGGGTAGGGAGGATGAACTCTATGATCTCTTCGACTGCTTGGACTCTGGTGTCCACCCTCCTGAGGACACCACTTAGAGCCTTGCCACATTGCAACAGCCCTGGCACAGCTGCCTGGCAGATGGGAAGTGAGGGTTCAGTTGGGTACCCCTAGGCCACCACCAGCCCTCACCACTCAGCTGTCGGCACCTCCTCTGCCTTGGCTGTGGCTAGAAGGGGTCCAGTAAAAGCTGGTTGGATGCCAATACTGCAATCAGATGCCACCACTGCCACCACCTTCACAACCAGCCTGTTTTCAGGTCCTGGGAGGGGCCAGCAAGAAGCCTCAGCATCTAGCCAAGTCCCAACTCTAATCTGTTTCTTTGGCACTCCTTACTCACCCTCCCTTGGCACATGGCACTATCTGTGCACCCTCTCAGCATCAGTCCCACAGCAGCCAGTATCTATTTACTTGGCCACTCTCCACTGCCAGCGTCTCTTGGACACTAGGGCTGGCACCTGATTCATCTGTGTGCTCAGAGCCTACACAAGGCATGTGAAAGAAAGCCTGTTCACTACATGAATAAGCAAATCCATAGGCCTCAGAGGCAGTTGAAGGCCTAGATGCTCAAGTTAAACTGAGCTGCCTGACAGGAAGGTCCCCAACCCCATCACTGAGGATCCTGAAGATGGGGTGGGGAAAGTGAGTCTCTTACCCTCCTTCAGCATGAGTTTTCCCACCTGTGATGGGAACAGAACCCCTATCCTTTTTTTCATGGAGGGAGACGAGACAAGACAAGCTATAGAGCGAGCTGACTAGTCTTATGAAAAAAGGTTCCCAAAGTCAAATTCATATAGCTGCTCCCAGGCACCATTTATTTTACACGGCTCACTTGCTCCTAGGTTTGGTGAGAGTGGAGCTGCCAGAGGGGCCCAAAGCAGCTCTCTTACACCCAGAAAGGAATTGCCTTCCTTCTTGTCTATATGGGGCTTCGCTGTCCACAGCTCTCCCCAAAAA